ATTTTTTTTTTATAATATGTAAATTATAGATTTACTTACAATATAAAATTGAAATACGAAGTGTATAAAACAAAGTAGGTTTAATAATAATTAGTAATTATTATTATTATTATTTTTTTTTTTTTTTATACTTATATTATTTTTTTTTTTTTATAATTTTAATATTTACGATTTTCATTGTTTTTCCAAAATCATTTGTAATCGACTTTTATATAATGTGTAATATTTTACCTAGACTTATGAAGTACATAATGGTTAAAAAAGGTTTATTAAATGTAGTTTGTTTTATTCTATTTTAGTTTGTTTTTTAAAATAGCAATAATTGTACTTTATATAATAACAATTAAATTGTAGAAGGTCACAACAAGTAGTGTATTGTGTAGATATACCTTCCCAAAACTAATTGAGTTGGCAGTTATTTAAATAAAATGACAATAATTTAATTACCAAAGAAAAAATGTAAAAGGATTATAATATGTGTATATAATATAATATAATATAATATGTGTATTTTACTTACCTTTTTCATCTTTTTGTGATGGCGAAAGTTCATTCCATTCGGCATACATGGCTTCAGCGACAGAATTCCATGATAAGGTTCTTAAATTTTTATCACTATATTCTTTTGACCCGACATCCCATAAACATGGCCTTGACTCAATTTCGATTATCATTTTTTCGTAATCAAACATTTTTTAAATTTTTTTAGCACTATTCACAATTTAATAAAATTTAAAATAAATAAATCAGCACCGCATGCGGAATACCGGATCGTGTGGACGGTTTAATTTAAAATAAGGTAATTTTCATTTGTGTCCGGTTTCGGCAATACGACATTTCCGCAGCAGGTTGCGGCAGGTAGCGGAAAGTACCGGACATGCCGCGTCGTGTGGTCGGTTGTATTTACAGCAATGTGTTTTCGTTCTTAACCCTGCAGCATGCGGAATCGCCGCATTCGATGACTGCGGAAAAAACGCATCGTGTGGCCCGAGCCTAAAATACTTTTGTTATTATAGCTATTGACTATTTGACAATAAAATGTTATTTTTAGAATGGATTTGTTATCTTTACTCTGTGTTTCACGGCGGTCGCCCGCAGCCGGCTCACGACGTCGGCGTCTGCTCGTACAACAGTGTTGTTGTTGAAACTCAATAATAATAAATAATAATAAATAATTTAATAATACTAAAAATAATAATAATTATTATTATTTATTGCTTATTGTAATTACCCACAAATTCGTTTCTTGTAATCGGCGACTATCGTCTATCGTCGACGATCTAATCTTATGAATTTCTGATACCTATTTGATATTACTTATTAGTCATGGCTCGTTAGTTCATTACGATATAAGTTCTGGATTATTCGACAATTCGACATTCGCGAATCACTGATTTTTATAATATTGAAGTGCATTTGTTTGTATACAATGGAATTAGATGGTGAAAGTGAAATACGTGAGCTACGGCTACCATGGCCTGTGTACAACAATTTATTTAAGTTAATTTCGGTAAATAACAACAATTTTGAAGTAAAGTGTAACCTTTGTGTAAATTCTAAAATGTACTCTACTTCTACTAAGAGTAACTGCTTTACCCTCAAGTGCTTCTGTTGAACGTTTGTTCAGCATAGCAGGAGATATATGCACTAAAAAGCGATCGAAAATTAGTGACAGTAATTTTGAAAACGCACTATTGTTTAAAATAAATTTGAAAAATAAAAATAAAATATTTAATGTGCAGCAAAATTAGTATTAATTGTTAATAATTTCATATTGTTGATTGTCATTATATAGTTTGTGTATTGTCATATAGACAAAATAGTTATTAAGCTCCAGTGATATGAAAAAAAAGTAACTTCTATTGTAATTGAGTTACTTTTAAAACTCAAAAGTAATGTAACTTGACAAAATGAAAAAAAGTAACTTAAAAATAATTTAGTTACAATTTTGATTAGTAATGTAATTTAATTACCCAAAATAAGTAACTTCCCCAACACTGTCTTTAGCAATCCCAGACTCGAAATGAATAGGTACCCCCGAAAATCTAAGACATAATTCTTAATTTTTACATAAATATTCAATTTCAATAAGTATAATATTCTGATTGTTAAGATATTCATTATTTTAACATTTATATATTTTCAAATATTTCATTTTAGAATTTTAGATTAATAATTATATACACTGTAGAATGGTTTGTTAATTGTTAATAATAATATCAATGTTATTATGCTTTCGGAATGACGGAATACCATTCGAAAAGAGGCTTTTCCTAACTTATATGAATTATTTCAAACTGCGAGCAAATTATTGAAGCATGCAGTGAATCAAAAATTGGTGAAGAAAGAGTAAATATGTTACACAACCAATACACTTATTCGTTCATATCTCAAGTACTCCATATAAATTATCAGTACTCAACGCGAGATATTACAAATAACTTAGAATCAGTTAGTTTTAGGTAAGTGTGTAAAACAATAAAAAATAATAATTTTAAAATCTGTTATCAATTTTAGCACCACTTGTTTAGTACTCTAATAACACCACCCGTAAGGTTTTTAAATGTGTGATGCTTGAGTGGGGTGTGTGTCCTGAGAATTGAGAAATATATGCCATGTTGGACAATGCAATATATAAGTCATATTTTAATATTGGACAATATTTAGTTAGCTCTGTGTCATTTCAAAGTGTGATCGCTGGTCACATTATAAATTGTTATATTTTATTAAAATTACGAAGTTTGGATACACACAGTTATCCGAATAGGACATAGGACTCTGCTGCGTTAGGTACGGAAACGGAACTATAGGACACAAAAAATAATTTTACCGGGACGCCACGCGGGGTCAATAAATATGTCTACCGTAGTTATTTTTATTTTTCTAAGGTCGTTATTTTCGTCCATAAATAAATCAGTGATACATATTATTATACTATACATCTGTATATGGTACGAGATATACATTATTATTACAATAAAGCGGAAAACCTCGTGCCGGTGATCTCATAATCCGCACCCCCGATCCCGCATTTATTTTTTTGTCGGTTTTCCTTTTCAATGGGATTTTTCAATATGCCAAATCAGTTCGTAACGGTTTACGGCCGTATCGTAAAATTGGGTCCGGAATCCGTAAAAAATAACGAGGTTCGCGTCCTGTCTACTGCGGACCGGGGCGCTATTATATCGCGACGGGGCGGTCAATTCGGTCGGTATGCAAACTCGCGGTGTTCAACGAGCGTAAACGTATCGGAGTTTAACCCCCTTCTCGATGGCGGAGAGGTGGCGTGGCTTGCCGAACGAAAGATGATAAGCCTCCGGAGAGTACATCGTCAGTGATGAGGTTGGTGTGGGGAGGGAGATACTTTGAGGCTTTTACGGCCTCCGACCGACGTTCGCACTGATCAGTATACACCGGAACTGCTGTGACAAACGACCCCGTGGTCTGGTCACTAAACACTTCACGGTCAATATTCATAATACTTTTATATCGACGAGGCGTTCTCAACCCCAACCACGGTATTGTTCCGAGAGTTATGGGTGGATAAAATATATGAAATGTGTTATATTTTAGGCATAATTTTCTCAGATAATATCACCCCTATAATAATAATATTTGTATTCGCTTTGCCCATGTGGCCATATGAATATAGAGATTCTTTTATGAGGGTTACCCATTTTTATGTTACATCATATAGAGTCACTTCCATCGATAACTCTTAAAATTCGTTTATATATGTTATTGCATTTTCAAATATTTTATTCAATCAAACAACATAAACATATAAAGTAGAATGAAAAAAGTTATTAATCGCTATTATAAAATACGTTTGAATATCAAACGTCACCAAGATTTGTAACCCCCAAGTCTTACCACCAAAATTAATATGTATTTGTATCTTTCGGTGTGCTGGACTATCGTTATTTTATTTTACTGACACCCTAAATTCACTGAACTAACGTACCAGGATAGGGTTACAATGTCAAATTTTCTAAAAAAAAATTTAGACTTATAGAATATTCAATTCGAGTGGGTGCCGGAGGACATTGTAGTTAGGTATAAATGTTATGGTGCAATGCATTTCGTGTTTAATATTTATCGCGGAAACCGAAAATTTGCTAACGGCAAACTGTCGCGCAGCAGCATATAATATAATGGGAAATGATTTCATTACTCGCGTCAAAGGCAATCAAATAGGTGTCGCGAGCGTTATCGATCGATGACCGGCGGCCAAACACGTCCATAATATTAAAATGTTATATATACGCACACGTGCAGTACTATATAAAATGTATAGTAATATAAACATGCGCAGGCCTATAATAATTATATTTTTAATTTCAATACACTGTGCGGAGTTGTCGTACTATATGATTTCATTAGCACATAGTATATAATACGCCTCTGTCCTCTATATCAAAAACAATTATTTCACTTTGCTCGTCGCGATTTTTAATGGAACATATTCGCTGCACATATTATATTATTCCCGATAATTTCCATATTTACGACAGAATTTGCATAATATTCACTGATAGGTGGTGGTGGTGGTGGTGGTGGTGGTGGTGGTGTTGGTGGTGTTGGTGGTTGGGTAACTCATCGAACTCTCTATATATATGAGCAAAATATACGGTGTAACCTATTATTGCTCTCTCTCGCCCACTCCCTTGTACGAACGAGTTTAATTTCTACGGTGCGCTCTGGGCGTTTTCCACCAGGCAATTCAACGATTATAGCTGGTGACTATATATATATATATACCCACATCGTATTATCACATATTATTAAATTTCCCGTTTTTGAAGTCTCCGTAATATATTACCTATATTAATAGGCATGGAAAAAAAGCTTACATTAGAATTCTAATTTTTTGATTTTCAGATATACTAGGAATACCTATAAAGACCATAATGTTTTAAAATTAAGAGGATCTAATATATAAAATATTATTTTGTATGCGTACCTATCTGGAATTTAAATATATTCTCAAACATATCGCTGTTATTTTTTTCTCGAAACGCATAGTGATCAGTCAACAAACAAAAATTTCGCGACTTCTTCGCCACAGCGCTCGAGATTAATGAGCGAGTGTGAATCGTTTTAAGACAACAAATCGCTGATTAGGCCATGTTTCAAGACAGCTGCGACTCGCTGGGCACGAGATCGCTGCCCAGACGCGATCGGTCGTCGCCATCGTCGTTGATTTGCTCCACGACCCGCACAGGACGACTAGGAAGCGCGTCCGGTCAAGTCATCAGCCATGAAACGCTTCCGGTCTCGTTTTCCGACGTGCCGTTGTTCGACGGCGACGACGACGATGATGGTGGCGACCGGGCGTTCCAATGTACGTTGGTCATTATCAAACCGGAAGTCGCCCGGCTGATGTACAAGGTGGAATGTGTAATGGCGCAAAATGGATTTATCATCAAAACGGTTTGTGTACAATTCATGCGCTCTTGCGTCGCATAGATAGTAGCGAATTTACGCGGGGCTGGGGGAGCAATTGCCCCTAGGCTGCCCTAGCCCTAAATTCCGAGTCCCATAAAGGGGTGCCGCCCCGATGCTTGAGATGCAAAGTAGGTGAAAAACATGACAGCAATAATGCATTTTTATTTTTACTATATTAAACTCTAAGTCAATCGTTTTTTTCATTTTAACATAATACGTATTTATTTGTGAAAATACAATAAAATGAATGACAAAGTCAAAAGTAAAATTTTGACTCTATCATACTAAGTGTGGCCCTATTAATATTTATCATTTTTTTTTAAATGTATCCAACATACATTCGTACCTATAATATTATCGTTGTCCTCTTAATAATAACCGTAGCCAGCAGCCGTATTATAACACCGAGAGTGATATAACCTCCATCGTCGATTATGATCGATCTATAAGACTTGTGGTATAAGTGAGCAAAGTATTTTCTGCAGAGCCACAATCAAGTCAGTAAGTCATTTTTGTTTTTAACATCATAAAGTTAATTTTATCATAAGAATTCTTTTTCAAACTATAGATGCCTATAAAATATTTTTTTCCCTTGGGCGGAAAATTCCTATAGCACGTCCTGATATTATCTCGCGTTTAAATCTCTCGTAGTACAAATAACAAAGTCCCGCGTACTATATTTCGTCTTACATAGAAGGAAGTGTTTCGATTGACCCGGGATCAGGTGGCGGAGTTCTACGAAGAGCACGCACTGGCCCCATACTTTACCAGACTAGTGGATCACATGTCCGGAGACCCGGTAGTGGTGTACGTGTTGTCCAAGAGAAATTGCGTCGAAGAATGGCAGCGACTGATCGGGCCGGCGGACGTTACTCGGGCCAAACGCTTGTTTCCGGTCAGTCTGCGAGCCATATACGGCACGGAGCAGGGACCAGATCCGGTAGCCAACGCTTTTCACGGCAGCGATTCTCCGGCCGCAGCGGAGCGGGAAATAAAATTCTTTTTCCCAAACAGTAAGCACCGATTTTCTGCACGATACTTATACTACATTATGACCGCGCTTTGCAAATTTATTATTTTATTGGACCATTAAAATATTATACGATTTCCTCATGTTCAACTTCAGATAAATTGGATGCGACCACGGGCGGCGGAGATGACTTGGTGGAGTACATAAAAGACGCCATGATGCCAACGATTTCCAAAGGTCTGTCCGAAATGTTCAACATCCAACCCAACGACCCTCTAAGGTGGTTTGGAAAATGGTTGTTAACCAGGGATGTATAATGTATATTGTATAATAGCATGTACATAATATTATTGTTACATTGTTTTATTCGTTGTATTTTATTTAGCGTACGGTTAATCAAAATTTAACCTTCATTCGTTTATTGTTGCCATGCACATGGTTGAGAAGACGTCCGCACTCTTTCGGTTTATGAAAAAAAAACGACTATCCTGATTCGAGGTGAGCGAAGAACGGAATTCGTTTTATGTCCGATGATATCGTATGTTCTTTTGAACAAGCATACGGCATCATGTATAGGCAATATGTATACAAGATTGTGTGCAAAAGTTACGAGGATGAAATTTTATATTTTTTAAACATGTACAATAATTTAGGTTTAGGTAAAGGCTTACAGTCTTACAAGTTACAGGTACCGTTGTCAATTAGGCAGTACCTAGTCACAAACTATCATTGGCAATGTATACATATTTGGTAATTTTGAAATGCATAACATTATAATTATACAAACCTAATTTACCTAATAGTATAATTAATAATAATATTATTATACATTGCATCAAAATAAATTTAATACTAAACAACTAAGTATGATTAATGATTATATTAATACAGTATTAAAAAAATATAATCTTTCAACATTCTAATATTTAAATTTAAATGTCTATGTCAATAGAAGGTATTTTCTTTCTGTTGAATTTGCATTAAACGGATCAATTATTGAATCAAAATTAGTACTTTCAATATGTAAAATAGTCATGTTGTTACTATATGCGTCTTTCTTGACCAATGGAGTTTCTCTTAAATGTTTTGAGGAGACGAAGAGATGCAGACGATCGCTTAAAGCAGCTCATTAGAATGGATGGAACAGTTTTATAAATACAGTACGAGTACATATTGTCAAATGAGCTAATTAGGTATTTTATAAATACAAATACAAATTTTCAGTAATATTAGTTGATGAACACTATTTCCCAAATAGTTTGAATTCTGCTTTAAATCATAGAAGTCAGTATTGTTGGTGTAACAAATTTCTAAAATATCTTCATCTATTGAAATTCAAGTTTCACTTTGGTTTTGGTTTTACTCAAAAATGATGAGAAGAGATTTCTGTTATCATGATGTATTGTGATGGCAAATGTAAAAAAATTAACCTTTTCTTTATGAGTTAAGTTTATTTTATTTTCCATCATAACTTTAAACTTATCGAGTTAATTATTTTCTTTATTCATTTTTAACTTTAACTGAAGGCAATTTAATTGAATTAACTTGTTACAGCTAATATTTTCCATAAACTTGCCCGCCCAACCTTGTAGATACCTTCTATACGACAGGTAATATAACTAATTAAAAATAACTACTAAGATTATGGGGTAGGAACTTAATTTTAGATCTAGTAACCCCACTCACATCTAAAAAAGCCGGTGACATTTGCTCTAATCTAAAATTTGAGAAATATCGCCCACATTGTACAAAAATTACTTTAAAATGTTGAAAAATGACGTTACAAACAAAAAGTGCAAAAAAAAAATATTCTGCATCAAGGGAGCATGAAACAAATCTTAACATCCTAACTCTAATTATTATATTATAGAAATGTTAAGTGAGAAACTGAGGAATAATATGTATATTATAACTTTTTAATGGGTAAATCAAAATTGTCCAAAATATTAAATCTAAGTACAAGTTTAATTAATGTTGTAGTAATAAAAAAGGTTATTTTAGATCCAATATAAGTATGTGCTAAGACATTTTTTAAATGATAATTATTTAGTTTAAAATGAACAATAAAATACCTTTGTTTAACATAATACATACTTTAGTGATAACATCATTTTTTGTTTTATTCATTTGAATATAATTAAGTACACGCTATTAATTATTTTTGGTCGTTCCATAATGAACGCATTCAAAGCCTAATTAAATTAGCTTAAATTTAATAAATGTACTCAAAATGAGTACAAAATTAATCCTAACTTAAGTTTATTTAATACAAGAAGTTATGAGCTCTCGTTGGTCTGTAAAAATATTACCCACCGCATGAATATGTATTTAATAATGTAACACATTGCAAGATCATAAGGACTTCATTATTAACTCAAATATAAGATCACTATTAAGTAAAATGTTTGAATCACATAAATTGTACACTCTGTCTAGGAGTGCACAAAAACGTGTAGCTTTTCACTGCAATATAGCCATATCAGTTGCAAAAGAACGTTAAATAATTTCTCCTAGATGTATACACAAAACGCAAATCACACTCCTCGGTCGATGTTCTTCAACTGCTGGACAGTGTCACGAGTATTACATGTATATTTACAAGTTTTGATAAAATATATTAATTGTATAACCAAAAATAATACACTACAATGTTGTAGTTCAAATAAGAATCAGAACGCCAGTTGTACAATAATTTTCTGTTTCTGTTTCTGTTTCTGTACAAATTAAGGTGAATAATTGAAAATATTAAAGAAAATTTTTTGTGTTAAATTTTGTAGTTTTATTGAATATCAAACATTGTACATAATTATTATCCATCGGAATAATAGTCAAAGTACACACGGAAATGGTCAAGCAGTATCAGGACAGCTTACAACTTCAACTTGGTTCTTCTCCAGTGACGCCTCTTGGCGTTATATCTGAAATATAAAAAAAATTAATAAAAATCAACTAGTTCATACTCAATTATAGTTAAGTAAAACTAGCTACCAATATTTATATACTATCAGAGTTGAACAAGATGCTTAAGTTCTTCTTCAGCAGACTTATTCTTTAAAAAAATATTATTTTTGTACTTAGATAAGAAATCTTAATAAAATTACACTTATATGTTGAGTTTGCACCTTATGGTTAAATATATATTCAACTTGTTCGACATTACAATATTCCAGTAGAAATTAAAAGACAAATGAAGTTATTTCATGAATTAATAAAGGCAAAAAAAAATTGTAAGATTTTAAGTTAGTCATACAAAGGGCCACTAGGTCAAAATACATAGTAACTTGTATTCATGTGAAATTCAAGTTTATATTAAGAACATACCAGTCCACTATAATTTATTGTTTACATCTTTAATCCACACGCACATAGAAAATAATTTAAGCATTAATACTTTAATAGTGTGTATTTAAGATATATGAGTAATGTTTAAAGAGTAAAATCGCCTATTCTAAAAATAACATAGAATAATGAACTTTTGGGGGGTTTTAAATTTCAATTTGTCAAAATATTCTCATTGAATATAATATCTAATAGGCAACATTATTTTAAAATAAAATACAAAACTGATTAATTAGCCATCAGTTACATTATATTTCATTTTTGTAACAACTCTATTCCACGAGACAACATGTTACATGATAACCACAATGGGCCAGCTTCGAGCAACCCATCCACCTAATTCTCGATAAGTAGCACATTATTGTTGGTGACATTTAGTTACATGGAAAAGATATGACAGCCTCATTATACATGCCCAGAACCGACATGTTCTCTTGTGTAACAGAGTATAATGTTTCTAAGATAATTCAAAAACTATAAAATACTATTATGAATGCATATTAGGTGACACTTAGATAGTCTTAAAATCTTAAGAACAGGTCAATAGAAAAGCGTGTTAATCTGTCAATAGTCTGCTTGTTGAGAACCACTTGTTCATAGGACAATGGATACTTTATAAACTAGGTACTGCCATGTACCTCTTATTGAAATAATATTCCAAAATAGTTATTTAATATATAAATATCTATTTGTGGGTATGATGGCCGGTCTATGTGTGCCACCATATATATTATGTTAATATCTCATTCACACGACAATAACCCTATTATGGTTATTGAGCTTGAACAAATTTAGTTGTATTGTTTAACGATACGATAATTAACAATATCACAGTTAATAAAAGTTGGTACTATTTAATTTAATTGTTTATTTTATTCTTGTTTAGTATCAATAATTTGTTTTAACTTTTAAAATGGACAATTTGAATTATATTAAATACAAGTTATGTAACCCATTATTTAATTTGCATAGAAGACAACTAGAGGAACATTTAGCTTTGTTACACTAGTTGTTCACTAAATAGTTCAAAACAAAAAAAAACAAGAAATGACCAAAGCACTAATAGGATACCAATCACATGCAAAACCTACGACATATTAATGAAGAGCAGTAACAGAATGATGTGTAACAAAGATCAAAAGTAATAAATGATGAAACAATATACTACGATTGTAAAAAATATGTACGTTGCAGAACCAGATGACCCAAGAAAGAAAATTGAAACCATAGATATTAAGGCAAATTATACCTGATCGTGTTTCCAGTTCTCATCCTAATCCACTGGGGGATGGGACGATTCTGTTTCATTTTTTTTGCAAGCTTCTGCTTGATCTTGAACGACTTCTTCGACGACTGAAAACAATAACACATGTGACATTAGCTTTTAGTACGACGAATCGTTCGTTGTGCTATTTCAAATATATCATCGACATAACTGGACGTTCAGCCGTGGCCAATAGCTTGGCAAATCGAATAATAATAATCACTTAAATGTTTAATAAAATCAGTTCACTTACCATGATGAAGGGTGAGACGTTGGAAACGCCAGATCCAAATTTCTTTTGGATGTCCCCAACGTGAACGTAATGTGAAATTGTGAAATACAAAGATCGAATACGTCAATTTACAGGTTATGTTTGAAATGTTTGAATCGTCCGGGCTGCAGTGTTGCGTTACGGGCAGTTCACGTCCGCGCAGTTGGCGACACTGAATCGTTCTCGCTTATGAGTTTTTTTTTTTAAATAGGCGCCAAAGTACGGTCGTCGCTTAAATTTCAAATGTTGGAGATCCTGAATTTCTAAAAGCAGACGGAACGTCCCACAAAATGTAAATATGGAAATCATTCTTTTTTAAAACTATTTTATCGGTAGACTTATTTCAAATATCTGTCGAGAAAGTTCATCAATCGACATATGTTATCAATGAAAAAAATATTTACTTATTACATTCACCTATACGGCTATACCTAATTTATAAA